ATATATATATATTATATATATATATAGGTAAATATATCAAGGAAGGAAAGGTAATAGGCTTCTACATATTTATATTAGTAGGAACGTACGTACGTCGGTAGGTTGATTGGTTGCCGTGGGGAATATGTATTAACTAGGTGGGTAACTAGCTAACTAATCGCTATAAACCCTAAACCCTAAACCCTAAACCCTAAACCCTTTTATTATTTTCTCTTTTCTTACCATTTGTGTAAAGTTTAAGAAAGGAGCTCTTATAACAGACTTAAGGGGCCTCTTTATGCCAAAACAATTGCCAATCTGCAACATAAACAAAAATACACCACTAACAATATGCATGCACGCATGCATGCATGCATGTAGAATCCTCAGTAGCTGTCTCTGTCTGTGTATATGCATGCATACAACACAGTATTAAGGGTAGAAAGACGCCTTACGAATCCAATGCCTGAGTTTAAGTCATAAATGGTTGATCCAGGACATCCTCCCCATACAAGAGAAGGGAAAGCGATGCTTAATTTTGTGTCCGTATTTATCTGCACAGCGCCGTAGTTTAAGTTGCTTATTGCCTCTTCTACTACCTGCATAACCGCACAAGAGACGCAAGGGAAATATTTGTATTAAATGATTTATATTGACGAATATATTCCTGTGGTTCATCCAGAACCCGAAGAAGCAAAAAAAATAAAATCAACGAAGAAAAGAGGAACGATTACCTTCTCTTCTGCGGGAGTTGAAGGACGAACAGAAATGCTGACTGACAGTCCTCCATGTACTTTATTGTTAGTGTATTGAACAGCAGCAGGAAGGAAGGCTTCAATAGTATTTTCCGTATCTAGAGGAACTTCTCCGCAGCAAGGAGAGAATGTTTCCTGACGAAAAAGAAAAGGAAATGAAGAAACAGAAGAAAAAATAGTGATGATCGATCATGTATTCATGGTTTCGGTTTCTGCACAAATTTCAGGTGTATAGGCAGCTCATGAAACTGCAATTCAACTTAGTAAGCAAATAAAGGTAATCTTATTGAACCTGTCGACAAAAGAATGAATCTTCTGGTAAATTTGTTGCAAATATTATCTTTTTATTTTCGCTATCCTTAGAAAGAGGACATTTCACGGATACTTCAAATTCTTCAGGTTTTCTACCCATGTCAATCAGCTGTTGTTTATAGGACCTTCAGCACAAATAACAAAAAAAATTAAGACTTAAATCCTTGAATCCGCTCTTTTTCTTTTCTCCTTTATTCTTTATTTAATGCTTTTCAATAAAGAGAAGAGGAACGGGAGAGAAACAGCTCTTTGTCGCAATCAGTATTATGCATATTTTTCGTTGGTTTATTCCGCTAAAGGAACAGAGAAGATGCTTAACAGAAGAATAACACAAGGAAAAAGGAAGAAGTGCATCCGCATCTGCAGGTTAGGATGTATGTGGTTGCATGCAACAATCGTATGTTGATTTCTTCCTCTTTTCCTCTTCTTTCCCTCTCCCTTACTCCATCCTCTTAGCGAAGTCAGGGTAATAACACCCAACGTAGTAAATGTCTTCAATGTACATCCGCACCAAATCAAGGAACTCCTCTCTGTACATACACCACAACAAAACAAATAATTATATAATACAACACATATATAAAGCATACAATGATACAACACTATTAATGCATGCATGCAACAAGAAGAAGAAAAGAAGAAGAGAGCAACACTTACCTTTGTGGCCAATTCTTGCATGTAACAATTATTTGAGGATGTGCGCAGATATGTGCACCATTAAACGTCATTGCTGCAGCAATTGCCTAATAAATAAAAAAAAGAAAAAGAAGAAAAAAAAGAAGGATTCATATAGGACAGACTCTAACAGTTGCTGCTGCTGTTGCTAACAACAGAAAGGCTGCAACAACAACAGCAAATGCAGCAGCTGCAGCAACACCAACAGATGCAGCAGCAATAGCAACAACAGCAAGAAGAGGTGAAGGAGTTCTGCTGTGTTATTTTACACATTATGCATGCAGACAGCCCATCCAATTTGGTTCAGCCTTTGGTTGGCTCTAGTAAATAAATAAATAAATAAATAAATAAATAAATAAATAAATAAATAAATAAATAAATAAATAAATAAAATAAATAATCAAATAAATAGTAAATAAACAATATGTATATAAAAACCTCAATTCTTACCGCCGCATGCCATTTAAGCTGTCTGTACGACCTGCCAATACACCGCAGCACAGCATCTGCGACTAAAGAACATTTACCTCACCACCGCCACCAACAAAAGGAACAGCAGCAGCAACAGCAGCAGCAGCAAATAATCTCCCCCCATCCTTATTTACCATTTGCCTGGACAGACAATCCATGGTGTACAATTGCCAAGTTCAACAGTCATGGGTTTATTAAAGATTGGTTGTGCAGGAGGAGGAGGAGGAGTAGGACAACCCCATATTATATTTGATGCAGTAGCAGCAGAACCTGTACATACACCCCAAATGTATACCCACCAGGGTCTATGGTCTTACTACTATATATAAGAAATACAAGAAAAATGACTCTTAATGATACAACAGCAGCAGGAACAAAGCAGCAGCAATAGCTGCAGGTTAACAGGCGTAGCAACTCTTAGTAAAAAGGAAACATAATTCTATTTATCTTTCTTTTTTCTCTTTCTATATTATTCATTCTTGTTTATATTGCTATTTCTCTGTTTAGTTATCCTTATTAATTAAATAATAATTCTTTTTATTTATTTATTTATTTATTTATTTATTTATTTATTTATTTTCTTATTATACCTGTCATATACCATTTGCAGACCTCTGGATGTTGTAGTAGCGCTGCGCCTTCTTCTGCCCCTCCAAATATAAATGCACAATAATCAGCATCAAGAAGAGGAGCAAATAATTTACTTAATGGATCCAATAAGCCAGCATTAAAAGGACTCATCTGCATACATGCATGCATGCATACACAAGAATATAAATATACATGCATGCATGCATGTATGCAAACAAGAACATAAATATGTATATTACTGCGGTGTATGTACACCTCATATCACGTAATAAAGAAAGAATAAATCTATTAAAAGGATAAATCCTTAATATAGTTATTTTATATATAATCTATAAGAGGCAATAAACACAAATAATAGCAATAAATATACTATGTTGCCTTTTATTAAAAATATATATACTAATTATATAGCCTGTCTACAGTGTATATGCAGATGTTTATTATAGTATAAAGAAAAAGAAATAAATTAAATATATTATTACCTTATAAACACAAACTTTGTTCTCAATAAATAAAGAAGTAAGTAAATCAACAGGGCCGTCAACTGCACATAAGAAAAACACAAGATATAAACATTTATTTATATTAATAATAGCAATGGTATTGTTGAGGATAATAATAAATACAATAATAAATAAATAAATAAAGAGTAAACATAAATAAAATATGCCAACAAAAAGGAAATAAAAAAAAAAGAAAAAAAAAAGATAAATAATGATAATTGGGGTGTACGTACAGTTCCCTGCGCCTAAGATAGCCGTTAGTCCTGGTGGTCTTTGATGAATCATTTCTTGTTCAATTGGCCCCTCTACTAATAACTCCATTGATCCACAAGTAACTAATGTTGTATGTAATAAACCTTTAGGGCCAACCTATATACGTATATATATACAGCAGCAGCAACAACAACAGCAACAGCAACAGCAACAGCAACAAGAGAAGCAGCAGCAGCAATAGCAGCAGGATGAGGACGTATGAATGTATGAAGAAATATTGGGCAGGAGGAGGAACAGGAATACGAACAGCAAACAAGGATAAAACCAACAGATAAGGTGTATATATACTGCTTATATATGTATAAATAAATAAATAAATAAATGTGTATATATTTATTTATTTATTAATAAAGATTTACCTTGACAAAATATCGTTGAGGTTTTCCTTCAGGTGTAGGGGCCTCCTTTACCTCCAATGGCGCAGGAGGGGCCCCCGTCTTAACGACAGAATCAAAGTATTCCCTTATTATACCCAACCAATTGCTGAGGAGCTGCAGCAGCAGCAGCAGCAGCAGCACAGCAACAGCAGCAGCAGCAGTGCACCCTCAAATACCATAAAGGATGGCTAATTGCATGCACATGAACCCGTGCTGCTGTATATACACTACAAGATGTAAAATAATACAACAGGAGATAAAAGTAATAAACAAGATGATGTCATTAACATCATAGAAGGCCTCAATAAGTAATTTATTCTTCTTCTTTCTTTTATGCTTCTTTCCCCTTCTTCTGTATACGGGGAAGAGGGAGAAAGGGGAGGAGTTAAAGTACCTTTACATACATAATTTAAGACGTATAAGAGCAGATAATGCAAAAAAAGAGAAAAATGCATTATTTATATGCTTGTTGGGGTGTATAGGCAGGTATTATAAGAAAATAATTGACTTACCATGGAGGAATGTAGCCAGTGCACACAACTTGATGAATTCTGCAGAGCGGATAGATACTGAGGTTCAAGAGAAGCATAAGAAGGAGAAGAAGAAGAATTTCCTTCTCCATCACGTTTAATAATGGATGCTGCTTGTAATTGTTCGCAGTTTTCCTCTAGATTATCCATAAGACGATCCAATAGTTCAAGTTTCTTCTCCGGGGGAAGCTCAGCCCATTCGTTCTTCTTCTTCGCAACACGGGACACGACATCGTTAATATTTAAAGAAGAGGACATTTTCAAAGAAATAAAGAGGAGAAGATCGTCGTATATGCAGCTTTCTTCTGGTAAAGAGAGGGAAACCAAGGCACACACGACAGACTCAAATGCTTTTACCCCGTCGGCTGCGCTCCGCAATAAAGAATATGCTCTGTTCTAATGGAAAGATAAAGAAACAATAAATAAGTACAAAAAATACAAAATGAAAGGTATTTGACGCTGAATAAATGCCGTAAACCCAAGAACGCAACAGCTGGATATATGTTAGCTGACGGATAACAAACACACGAGGGAACTGCGGTGTATATACACCGCGTATCCCGAATTGCTAGACTGTGTAAGAAGAGAGGGAAAGGAACAAAAAATAACACGATTAAAGGGAAAATTACTGAAAGATATTTATTTTATTTTATTTTATTTTTATTTAATCAAACGATTATGGCAAATGGTCCGAGACGGCAGGGAACAAGCTCTTGAATATCCATCATCGGTTTCAGCATTGCTGCACATGGCGTGTAATGATGATGTATGAATAAACGTGCATTATTACTCCATTAATTAAACAAAAAGGTAAAAAAAAGTATTATTAAACATATTTAACTGCATTGTTTTATAAGGTCTGCATTAATAACATATCTTTTCCCTTCAGACAGCAGAAAGCGTTCCCTGCATATGATGATGATGATGGCATTTCCTCACATGATGTTGTTGCATGCGGTGAATCGGCTGCGTTGCCAAGGCAAGCAGTTTCTTCATGAATTATATTTTTATATTTCTTTTTTATATTAAGATTTATTCAACATAAGGAGACGCGCGCATTGCACGCAGATTTCCCCATATTTTGTGGTTTATTTGTTGCAGTTGCTGCTGTTGCTGCACATAAATAAAGGAACAACAACAGCAGCATAATAAAGATGGATATTGCTGCATCTGTTGCTGCGGCCTCTGCTGCTGCATGCGGCATTGGTGGTTTACAGCAAGTAGCATCATTAGAAAGAGAGGTATTGAATACATCTCTTCATGACGGTTTCTCTTCTTCCCCAGCAACAGCAGCAGCAGCAGCAGCATCATCATCATCATTAACAGCAGCAGCAGCAGCATCAGCAGCTCCTCCCCCTAATAGTATTCCTCCTCATCCTTTAGAGATTCAACAGAAACGTTATCTACATGAATTAGAGAAGGAGGAATTCTCTCGTGCTGCTGCTGCCTTTGGCTACCATTCAGTATTAAGACTAAAGACAGAAAGAGAGTTGTGCGCAATGACACAAAGATTGCCAGGAATTTCTTCTTCTTTTTTAGGTGTACATACAGTTATGGCTATTGATGATCAATTATTAACTGAAGAAATATTCAATAAAGATAAAATACACGAAGAAGGAGGACCTCTTCTTGGTGTACATGAACGTATAGAGAGGGCTATGGGTATTTAATTTATAATATAAAGGGAATTATATTCTTTATTTATTTATTTATTTATTTATTTATTTATTATAAAGAAGAAGGGGATGGTGGTGCTGTTGCTTTGCTTCTGCTGCAGCAGACAGCAGCAAGACAGCGTCAGCAGCAGCAGCAGCAGCAGCAGGATTAATATCGGCATATGGTGTCTTTAGAATGGGGAGGGATGATGAGCTGTACGTACACCTGAAGAAGGAGGAGGAGGAAGAGGAAGAGAAGGAAAAAGAGTATTTCTTTTTATCATTAATTAAATAATAAAAAGAAATAACTCTCTTTTGCTGTCTTGCTTGCTTACCCACCCTCCTATTGGGGTGTACAGACAGCAGCAGATAATAACTTTCTTCTTTTGTCCTTTTATAACAACACAAAGCTTTCTTCCTCCATTGTATAATAATTATTATTAATTATTAATAATTAATTACTATTATTATTTATTATTATTTATTATTATTGTTAGTTATTATTATTAGTACTCTTTTCTTGTAGTTTAGCGTATATTTACCTAAATAATTGTTGTATATATTCTTCTTTATTAGTTGTATATTTATATTTCTTTATTAATTTTGTATTTTCTTTTATTTATATTTTATTATATATAATTATTTTATTTATAATTAAATATAATTAGTCGTAGTTTTACCTCCTTAGACAGACAGTATATTAATGAGGTGTACGTACACCCCAATACTATTATTTATCTACTAGTTATCTACATTATATATAAACTACAACTTTATATCTATTTACTTGGTGTATGTACACTACAAAGAAAAGGTAAAGACACGAGAAAAGAAACGTATACTGTTGCTGTTGCTGCTGCTGCTGCTGCTGCTGCTGCTGTTTGTGTTATTATTTCTGTGTCTTTATCTCCTTTCTCTCTTTTTAATTCAATAAAATATAAATTTATTTTTTATTTCTTTATTTCTTTCTTCTTTTTAATTGAATAAAAGGTAAAATGCAGCCCCAAAGATAATAACTGTTTATTTATTGCTGCTGCAGCAAAACAGCAGCAGCAAAGTTGCTGCCTGCTTCCTTGCTGCAGCAAACAAACTAAACAATATAATCCTCATACAAATGTCTTCTCTCTGTGGCAAGAGAGAGAGACCAATAGCTACATACATACATAAATGCATGCATGCATGCTTGCATGTATGCATGCATGCATGCATATATATGCATGCATATACACACTGTATATACAGTGTGTGTGTGTGTGTTTGTGTGTATGTGTATGCGTGTGCGTGTGTGTGCATGCGTGTATGTGTGTGTGTGCGTATTTTATGTGCATTTGTTTATTTATTCATCATTTATATATTTCTTTACACATAAATGCAAAATAGCGCAGCAATTCTTTTTTTTTTTTTTCCCTTCTTTGTTTACTGCGTCTTATATACACTGCTTGCATGCATATTGACCTTCATCCCCGAATATACAATAAATATATGTTGTAAATAAATAATATAAATATATATAAATATATTTATATTTATATATATTTATATTATAAATATATATTTATATATTTATATATTCTCGTAGTCAAGTTTACTCTCTAATTTCTTATTCTCTGCGATCTTCCTTGCTGCCTTAAAGAAATCTTCTTCTATAACATAATCACGATCAGCACGGATAGCAAACATACCTAAGAAACAAATAAACAAATAAATAAATAAATAAATAAATTAATTAATTAATTAAGTATAATTATATACATAATAAAGGAAATAAATAATTAAAAATTCCCCTTATTCAGGTGTACGTACACCCCAATTTCCTTACCCGCCTCTGTGCAAACATTTCGCAAATCTGCGCCGTTAAATCCATCGCAAAGACGGCAAATCGCGTCAAAGTCTGCAAGCAATAGAATAAAATAAAAAAGAATAAGATAAATAGATAAATAAGTAAATAAATTATAAAATAGATAAATTAATTAATTAACCAATTAATTAATTAACTTACCAATATCCCCAGACTTGGATATTCTACTTGAATGAATTTTTAGTATCTCTAGGCGTGCGCTCTCATTAGGCATAGGTATCTCTATCTTCCTATCTATAAATAAATAAAAAAAAAAGGAAAAAAAAAAAGACAATAAAATATAATTCCTGATGCATGCAATGGAGGCAACAGCACCACAAACAGCAACAGCAACAGCAGCAGCAGCAGCAGCAGCAGCAGCAGCAGCAGCAGCAATTACCCAGACGTCCTGGTCTCATTAGTGCAGGATCTAATACATCAGGCCTATTAGTCGCCATAATTATTTTTACTTGTCCTAATTCATCAAATCCATCTAACTGATTAAGAAGCTGCATAAATAATAATAAATATAAATAAATATATATATAAATATATATATAAATATAAATAAGTATAAATATAAGTAAATAATAAAAAAAAATAAACAAAAGAAAACAAAAAAACGTACAACAATTAAATTCAATAAAGAAAATAAATAAAAGGAAAATAAAATATAATTACGAATTATTATCTAATATATACACTATAAAAAAAAAAAAACACGAATAAAGTAATAAATAAGTAATAAATATATTTAATTAAATTAATTAATTAATTAATTAATTAAATTAATTAATTAATTAAGTAATTAACCTCCATTAATGTTCTTTGTATTTCTCTATCCGCAGAAGTTCCTTGAGAAAATCTTCTGCCGCCAATCGCGTCAACTTCATCCATAAATATTATACAAGGTTGATGATCTTTTGCATATCCTGTATATAAATAAATAAATAAATAAATATATAAATAAATAATTATAATAATATTTTATTACGTCTATTATTATTTATTTTAATTGCTTAATGAGGAGGGAACATAAAGATCGCAGACAAAAATAGGCAAAAAAAAAGAAAAGGAAAAAACAAAGGGAGAGAGAGAAGAAAAGGAGAAGAAAGGAGAAAGGAAGGGGTAAAGAGAAACCGGGAAAGAAAGAGAAGAATAGGAATAAATAAATAAATAAATAAATAAATATTTCTTACCAAACATTTCCCTAATAACTCTTGCGCTTTCTCCGATGTATTTATCAACAATAGCAGACGCAACAACTTTCATAAAGTTGCAACTCATGTTAGATGCCATGGCTCTGTACATAATAATATAAATATACAAATATATATATTATATATTATTATTATATATTATATATTGTATGTATAAAATAATATAATTATACATATATAATATAGTTTAGTAACAAGAAATACAAGAAAACATGCAGATAGGCTGATACTCGTGTACATGGGATTCCCTTAACTAATTAATAAGAAAGCAAACAGAAGAATATTATGTATATACAGCATGCATGCAAAGAAAAGAGTATCTTATTAATATTTATGTATATATATATATATATATATATATATA